ATCAGTTCCCAACTTCAGGTAGCTGATTTGTTCACTAAGGGTCTGGGTGCATACCGTTTTTGTTTTCTACTCTCCAAGTTGCATGTTCGTGACCTCCACAGTACAGCTTGAGGGGGCGTATTGGGCCGAGTGTCATCAGCCCGTAAGGATCCATCTACAGGTCTAGCTCGAGTAGCATGCATGGTTACGACATCTTCGCCATGTAGGAGTAGGTTTTCCTTTACGTCTTGTACGAGGATACCTTCTTCCTCATATATTCTAGTAGCATCTTGTAGAGGAATATATAAGAAGGCTTGTAAGGCCTTTGTGCCGTGTGTTAAGTAATAAGAGTTAAGAGCTGGAGAGGCTAAAACTCTCCCGTGGATTAATCCCGACATCAATCGGGATACCACGTAAAATCGGTGTCTTGTGTTTTCTTCTTTTGAGTTAGATTTATTAAACCATGAGTAACCCGTCCACATCAGTATGACATCAGCATCCCTCTCTCTTGGAAAGCCTTTACTTTTACCCTCTTTAATATTTGGCGGACGATTTCTCACTCGTTTTGAGTCAATTTTTTTTTTGCACAATTAGATCAGATTATTTGTTCTCTTCAAAGTGATATCCACTTTGATATATTTTTCGAACAAAAAAATTGAGCCATTTTTTACCAGTCTATACCATATTGTATTGACTAGTATTGAAATAAGAGCATACCTATGATTTGAAAAGCATACCATGGTGGTATGAACAAACCAAGACTGTAGGATGGTTGAATGCATGATAGTATAAGTATATTTAGGGCTGGCAATTCGGTTATTTCGGTCATAACCGGTAACCGATTGGCCGGTTATCGGTTAACCGTAATAAACACCCCCTTACCAAAAACCGACCGAAATAGGCTTCGATTTTTCGGTTACCTCGATTAACGGTTAACCGAACCACTTTTAAGACCAAAACCCATTTTGGCCAGCTTCCGATAACCGACCGAAGTTTGGTTACCGGTTAGTGGATAACCGGCCAATTATCGGTTTAACCGGTCGGTTAACCGGTAACCGGTAACCGAACTGTCATCCCTAAGTATATTAGCTGTCATTTATGACTTTTAACATTGTGTACCACAAGATACCACCACGTACCAGGGTGGTATTGTATGGTATTGTGTAGTATTTTTTGGTCATGTACTTTGTTCACCCAGAAATTTGTAGATCCAATAGACCATGATAAACTCGTTCATTCTGTGCAAACGTTTTCAAAAACGAATTAAAAATGAAGAAAATACTATATGGTATGCAGTTGGTACCGAGAGGCAAGAAATTTTTTTTCTCAAAAGATATTGAAAATGGATCTCATTTTGTAGAGCACAACGAACTCGTTCCATCTGTGAAAAAAAAAATTAAAATCCGATTAAGAAAGCTAGGGAAAATAAAAATGACATTTAATTCTTCATCTTTAGATCTGGATTTTCTAAATGAAGGGTCCAAATTTAGTTATTGATGTGTGCATAACTCATGGTTATGCACCCTATCTTAAGCCATAGACCACCTATGCTTTAGTTTGAATAAATCGATCACTTATGTTTTCACTAATTTATTAAACATTCGGTCCAGCTCTATTAATTTTCAATCCAAAATTGTCATGTCAGCTTGCCATGTCATCAAAATATACATAAAAAATATTTCATATTGTCAAAGATCCAAAACCAAGTCCAACCAACCTAAAATCCCAAACCCGTAAAAACTAACCAACCTAACAAACGTAAATCCGATTTCTCATCCACGATCCAAATATTCGTGACTCAATCACATACATTATGAAACAAATGCTAATCATGAACCCAAGCTTAATTTAGCAAATGGATCCCCGACACATCATCAAACAATTATCAATTCCAGCCAAGTAAGATGGTTGGACAAAAAAAGGGGCGGAATTAACATCTCAACCATGTACATCAACAAAGAGGGACGTATTTACATCTCAACCCTCTACAAAATATTCATATCTTGTTCCAATACTATATTAAACACCGCAGCTTAGTCATCGGCATTTGTAGAAAATGATGGGGTTATCATGGAAGTCACTCATGATGTCTTAATCCCTGTGCTAATCGGAGTTAGTCGTTGAAGAAATTGATGGGGTTGCCATAGAAGTAAGTCCTGATGTTTCTGTTCTCATGCTAGTAGGAGCAACTGTCCTACTTTCGGAGCACTACTACTATGCTATATAGTATTGGTGCTTTAATGTACAACTTGAAGTTGTACCATAACATTAAATGTATAAGTTTAGGTTGTACCATAAAGGAATTTGTATCATTATGTTATGGTACAACTTTACAACTTGAAGTTGTACCATCACATCAATGTACAAGTTTAAGTTGTACCATAAAAGAATTTGTACAAAAAGTATAGGTACAATTTGAAGTTGTACCATAACATTAAAGGTACAATTTCAAACTGTACCATAAAGACAAAAACCTATAGCACCAATACTATATAGCATTGTAAAATTCCTCCTACTTTCGACTGTCCTCTTTCTCTAAAATGAATTAAAAATTTCTTTGTTTTTATAACCGGATTGGATGTTGAACCGGAAATGAGAGTGATTTAGGGTTCAATGGTTAACTGTTACAAAACCGTGGGTGAACCATTGATAGAATCGTTCATTATGTATAACACACAAGACTTGTATAGTACACTAATTTAAGAATGAAGTTATTATTGACCATAAACAATTTCAAATTCATATCATCACCAAAATATCTAACAAATCATTCACACCATCTCACAAAGGAAATCATAATTTTTTTTAATTCAAGTTAAAAATTACGGTGTCAGTTAGTGGACCACTTGAAGTCGACAATGAGTTTGGAAAATGAGATGAGTAAGCAACAATAAAATTAATTGTTCTGGTTTGATGGTTCTAGCTAGTTTATGTTAAAGTATTTTTTTAAAAAAGTCATGGTGAAAATGTGTGAACCAGCTGACCAATTAAACCATGGTAGTTCATCTGGTTTTATGTTGAACTGTGAGAAACCGTTTGATTTGATCCATCAATACCGATTCAAACAATGAACCGAACCATTATCGTAACTGATTTGACGATTCTACTGGTCCACCCGTTGATCTGATTCGGTTCTTATAACAATGAAAAATATGTAAACTAACGAGGTGAACCAAAAATTAGATTTATCAACTTCACAAATAATCAAAGAAAAAAGCAAAATTCTACTCCACAAAACAAGAAAAGGTAAAAGTGAACAAAGAAGTGTACCCTTATTGTTGGTGGTGTCCGAATCTGATTTGGGTGTGTGAAACCACTAGTTCCAATCCATCATATCTTTTGAAACAACCGTTGAATCCAAAAATTTCAAATTTAATTTTAATGTAAAATCATCGAATAATTAATGTTTTGACATCTAAATTTTATGAGATTTTCGTACCTATAATTTTTTAAAATTTACATATGGGTTCAATGTTTGGATTTCACTTGAATCCAATCCACCAATCCATGAATCCAATCCACCAATCCATGAATCCAATCCATCATAACATAAAAGTATAAATTTTGTTTGTACCATACAAGATGTATCATTCAACTGTAGGAGAAAATTTGGCCATTTTATATTTGCTCATTACGTGAAATATTAAATAAATGATAAAAGAGAGACGACTCTAAAATATTGCAAAAGCGAATTAATAAACTCATTTAGTACATTTACGGGTACTAAACAAACTTCTACTAACTACATGTAACAAAATATGTCATATCTACATAAGCAAGTGTCAATAAATTGATACAGTGAAAAGGGTTGATTGTTGTATTGACGGCCAACTAAAAGAATTGGTCGAAACCTTTCCATCATCTACTTCCTCTTCGTTTCATTTTTCACTCGCCTTCCATAACCATTTCTTTATTTTTTGTTGCCTTCTTCGTCTATCCCTAATTAGTATACTATTTTATGTATTTTTAATCACAAGTATGAATGAGTCCATACACGACTCACCAACAGTCTGGAGAATTAATAATTGAACCATGAACCACTAACTTTTTCAGCTCAATGTTGAGTTCAATTAAAAATAAATATATATGATTATTACTTATTAGAAAGTCGACCATTTTCACATCGGGATATGAAGGCGTGAAATTTTAAGTAAGTTCTAGTTTGTATTCCTTTTGCTTCTCTTTAGAGTTTTTCTTTTTCTCCCACAAAAAAAAAGAGTTTTTCTTTTTCTCTCAGGCTAGAATTTTCAACAATTATACATGAAATGTTTGGCTAGGTATCTACACATATCAAATAAATATTTTCCATTTTTCTATAAAAAAGTAAATAGTTATAATCTTAAATATATCATCATAAAAAGAATTAAGCCTCAACTATGCAAATTATAGTTTGGTACCTAAACTTAATAGATCTTTAGATTTATAATGTAAATTTTTTTTTGGCATATAAGTCCTCAAAATATTGATGAAAATTTACATTTTAGTACCTAAAATTCTTGCGTATTACATTTTGGTACCTTAACTTTCTAAGTTCTACAAATCTGTCTAATTTTTGTATGTGTAATTAAACACTCTCGAATAAATGAGTATCCATACCCAACTCATACACATTTAGATTATGGAAGTAAATATCCATACACTACCCAAACTCATCTACAAACTTCCAAACTCATATATACGTCACATATACCTACCCATAATCAATTGGTTTACTTGGATTTAGGTAAATATCATTTATTAGCCAAAATTTTCATAATTTTATAAATTGGATGTTGAGAGCCATATATATCTTCTCAGACAATATCATATTGTCAAGTCAATGTTACTAACAAAACTGCTAACAAAAAATTAATTTTAAACTAACAATACTAACAAAACACCATAACGGGCCAGATAATAAATGTCCATAGGCGATCTCCACCCACAACAAGCAACAAGGCGCGGAATCGCCACCTGATTCTCTTTAAAAAGTATAAAAACAGAGCATGCGAAAAGCTCAGCTTCTTGTGAGTTGTGACAGTCATGGAACTCCAACTTTCTTTCTTCCCGCATAAAGAGAGTTATCATATAAGATTACAATAATATTTCACAATTTCAAATATTACACCAGGAAAGCACCCACAGCCAAATACCTAAACTGCACTTTGACGGATCCCATGACTCAATCCATAGAGCCAGGCCACTAAACTACTTTAGACCACAAAGTCGGAACAGGGGTCACCTCATAACTGAACGATTCATCCAATCAACAACAGCATAACATATTGACATCCCTATTCGGACCAGCTGCGACGAAGTTCTATGCTTATACCGACCATTAGATGTGACTATCCTTCCTACTAAACCTGCTTCTAAGCAATGATAAGAGAGAATCCACGAAGAGAGGTGGCAAAAAATAGGAACAGGATATAGAAGCAACTAACTAAATAGAATACGTATCTCTAGTTTCAGTTGACCCGGCAGAGGCTTCAAACAGTCAATCAACGAGCAAACAATCAGCCCTTCGGTGATTTCATTCTCTGTGCCCCCTATTACTCTGCATCAGAAACACATCACGCCATCAAATGGTGATCTGAACATGTAGTTGAATCATGAATGACATCAGAACATAAGTAATTCACACGGTTTTAGCCAAGGATTCAAAGACTTAACCCGTGACAATTCTAATTCACAGCGCAAACTGCAGCATGATGAAGTCCCTTTTTCTTGACTCCTAGTCCTATGAAATTTATCTTAGACCAAAGGGTTCTTTGGTGACTTACCCTCGTCCTCGAGCTCCTCACTCCGGCTTTCTTCATCCACATCGTTGTCCACATCTTCATGCTCATTATTGTCATCATCATCATCATCCTCTGCTTCATCAGTGTCGCTATCACTTTCAATAGGTACTTTAGGTGGCTTAGGAGGAGGGACATAACTGCTTGTTGACCTCCTCCGTGAACTGGACACAATGTTGCTCATGTCAATGCCCTCAAGTTCTTTGGCTCTCTCCTTTCTCCTCCTAACTTCTTTTATTTCTAGGGCACAGCAAAACAAACAAGAGAAGAAAAGCAACTCAGAGCTTATCCTCGATGGTAAACAAGATCAATCAATACCGCAAGCATGCAAGCTAGCAGTATTATATTCTGCAATCCTCTTTTTCATTTCAGAGTGCATTTAATTCTTGGTTCTGACAAACCATTAAAAAAACAAAATCTTTCAAGTAACCGATGATCAATATTGTCAAAATATGAAATCCTAAACCTCAGTACATGAAATTTTGGGTAGAGGGTTCACAGAACCATACGACATAAAGCATGACTATTCATACAGGCCGCAATTAACATTCACCTTTTTCGGAAGGATAAGATGACAAGTCTTCTCTAGAAAGTATAGCCTCAAGTTCTTTTATTAGCTCTGCCTCACGTTTATTTTCAGGCACCTGCTTCACCTTCTTATATATAGCTGGCGGAACACTGAAAAATGAATGCATTTAGTTAGTTATGGTGGATACACAGAATAAGTTCCACCAGTTATGGGTAAAGTGAAGGTAACTTAACCTCATCCCACAAGATTTGATAACAGATTTGAGATGCTCCACACGCTTTTCATATATCGGGGCAGGAGTAGAAGGTTCCCTTTTCTGCATGAAAATCAACATAGAGCTTACACATTATTGCTGCATTTTGATTAACATGACACAGATGTTCTGAGTGGTTTAGACCTTCACTTGCTTTTCCTGTGACGACTGAGAATCACCATTGTCAGAGGCATTTACTTCATCTGCTGATTCGCTATTGTCATGTGATGAAGTTTTCGGACGCTTGCTTTGCTTATTACCAGATACCTTGGATTCCTTCTCAGAACTTTTCCGTTTTTTTGGACCCTCAGTGCTCACTGTCCTCTCTTTTGAACCAACCTTACGTTTAGGTTTTGCTTCATCTACATCCTGCTCATCTTCAACCTTGCCTGACGAATCTGATCTCACATCAATGCTCACTCTTTTAGCACTTCTATCGTGGGATTTATTCGTCACAGTTTTCTTCTTCGAAGTGTAGATTTCAGGAGACTGCAATACCTGGCAGATCATGGAGCCATCAGGAATATAGAGATGAAATTGAAAAAATTCATAAAAGGAATCTAAATTTACCTCATCTAACTGAGTGCTTATAAACTTCTTGAAGGGATCAAGTGCACCACTATCAAGTTTAAGATCTTCCTCTAGAAGTCGACGCAGTCCAGCCATTGTAATGCTTCTGAAATCAGATGAATCAATGTGATAGTTCAATTAGAAAAACACATATTCACTAAAAAGAGTACATATTGAAACAAAAATTGATGGAATCCACGAAAACCATAGCTGCAGTAGTAGATGCTACAGATGATAAACCAGTGTAAGAAGTAAGAACTATATACTTACTCAGAGTTAGCTCCAATATATGAAGCCCTCTTCAAAATTGCCTTTTTTATGATGCTCTCGCTTGGCACTTTCTTCTCAATATCTTTGTTCTTATTAGTTTCTGTTTTAGATTTCTTATGACCTGTCATAAGTCCCATTACAGGGGAATCTTCCATTTTCTCCTCCTCGCTATCATGATCCTTTGTGTCAATTTTTGATACATCCCCTCCAGGTATTTCTGCTGCTTCTTCTTCAATTGAACATGCGGCTTTTGCAACCTTTTCTGTTGAATCCTGATGGCCACTACCATCAACAGCGCCCTGCATGCACTGAACTGGAATACTATTAAATAGAAGTAACTGTACTGAGGGTCTGGTTTGTTGTTAACCCACATGGCCACATCACACTTTAATATAAGAATCATATAAATAAATCGAGCTATGCCAATCAAGCATTGTTAAGAAAAAAATGGCTAATGCAAAGTTAATAACAATATAGATAAAAGATTTCCCAGCAATGACAAGCTGGTAGCAGACTTCCAATTGTATTTTGTAGCACCAAGTTGTAGAACATAAGACATGAATCAGACATATCCAACCATAAAGCATCTTTATGTGGAGGTACCATCACAAAAAGATACAACCGCATCACTGAGAGGTATGCTGCAGCGAAGATCAGAAAATCATGGCTGCATCTTAGTCATTTGAAACATCTGGCTTGTGCTCAAATAGCAAAAATTACTCATTCAATCAATTACATATTTTTATTTGTAGTTGCTCAGCACAAAAGTTTTAAGAAAAAATTCCTTTCTCTCAAAATGAAGCTGATTATGTATAATAGTAGTTCATGATGAATAATTTTCAATTTTCCAATTAGACATTGTAATCAAGTGGTTCAGCAAGCATTCGAAATGAACAGTCTGAGCAGCAATGTTGATATAATGTGCAACGGCATAGCAATCAACTTTAGCTACAATGATCTAGGGCAGTTTCATAGTCCAGAATGCCTGCTGATGCGAAGATAGCCAAGTAAGAGCCAGTACATCGAAGAATTCCACACTTGATGCTTCCAAAATCATTTGATTTGTTGATCGACATATACTCAACTTAATATAAATGTAAACGAAAAGATGTTTGCAAGTAGGATAACCAAAACATAAGACAAAGTGGGGGGAAATACAAAAGCTTCAAAGCCGCCACGCAAAGTTCACAGGCAACAGGAGAAGTTTCTTAACGTAAAGGGAGGAGAGCAGCCTACCTCCAGCAGCAATTGCTTCACAAATCTCTTATGCACATCCAACGCAAATTTCTCCAGACCCAAGTCCTTTTCCAAAACCCTCCTTACTCCCTCAAATGTCAAAGAACTACAATTGGGAAACGTTCCAATATGGAGGCATTAACAACTCGAGAAAGCAACTTAAGAAAAGTGACGAAACTAGAGGGTGCTGAGGCGAGAGCAGTTCAAACTATTGCTGTCAACAACTGAAAGCATCTAAACCTACTTATATCGCTTTCAAGAATAGTTATTAGCCGGAATGGCTTGAGGAGACACCAACAGTACAGAAATTACACTACTTGGTACGATACTGAAAGGAATTTTCGAAGCGCTGAACTTGCTTCGGAACTCAAAGCCCTAGAATTCTTGGAGAGAAAGAGAGAAGGAAGAATACTCTGCTTGATCTTTGAAGTAGTCGACGCGAGACCGCATGGCAGTCCTAATTTGGGACTCGACATCTGGCGGCGCGTCATTGATCTCCGCCGGGTCCTTTGCCGCCGGCTGGGTGGCTCCCTGTTTCTCCGCTGCCATCACTGGAGCTAACTGAGTGTACCGGTTCAGTCAAAAGAAGAAAAACTGCGAGTATCGGGCTCAGTCCGTTGCTGAGGTATGTATTAAAATCTCGAAGGATTGCTTTTCTATAATACTAGCTTATAACTCGGTTCGTTGGTCGGAATATTCATATTTGATTATTTATGTTTTTATGTTATGTTTAAATCTATCAACTTGTTTAATTTTATTGACAATCTTTCGATCGAGATGATACATAAAGAAAAAATATATAGATCGAACATTTGGAGAAATATAAAAATGTATCATTGATCTCATTTTCATAATGATAATTAAGTCTCTGGTAAAATATTATTGGTTAGTTGATTGTCAAAAAAGATAAGAGTATAAAAACTCGCTGAAATTTCCTCACGAACCATAGATAGTTTGAAACTAAATCTTAAACCTCGCAATCCTACACAAAGGTTCAATGCTCTCCTTTTAGGAACAATATGCCACTAATAATAAAAAATGGAAAGTTGTTGATTCAAGTCAACTATATGCTAACTACTCAGCTAAGAGCGGACCATCACAACTTGAGAGCAAATACCAAAATTAGGGTTACCTCCAATATACTAATAGACTCGATCAAAGTAATAAGGAACTACAAAACGTGAACCCTAGAAGTGAAGCGGTGCGTTTTGATCAAGCTCTCTGTGTTCACGAACGCATCTTGATGTTCACGGCCGTGAACTGGGCGCGATCTCAGTATAAAAGGTCAGCTGAAAGGAAAAAGAATGGGGGAGACCTAGTGTGAGAAACTTCTTCTTCTTCAAATTTCTATAGTGAGAAAGTGACGAACCAAAGAAGAGGAGAAGCTAGGGTTTCATCTTCAAGCAAGGAATTGGGAATTCTTCCCCCAAAGGAGGATCTCTTCAACACAAGGAGCAAACCTAGCATCTTTTTTATGGTTTTTCTTCTTCTCTCTTGTGTTTTCCCTTCTCCTAGCATGGAGCAGTCCCTTCTTTCACTTGGGTGTTTGTAAACCCTATCTACAATTATGTGAATGCTTGTATTAATTAAATGATTTGTGTGTGGTTGTGTTTACTGTGAATGTGGAGGTATTATTCATGAATGATTGTGTTGTGTGAAAGCCTATCAATATAATTGTCATTCTAACCTAAGTAGAGAGGAAACCCCCATTCCTTTCATTGAAAGAGGCTTGAATGCTGGGTTTTCTTAGGCAATTCATTGTCTCGTAGTTAGGTTAATGCAGGGCAAACCTCCTATTTCGTATTAGCACCTAGGGTTTGGTTGTGGGTGGCCGTCCGAACTCCGATTCGAGGGTGAAGTCTAACCAATCCTTAGTCAATAGGTTGAGAGAGTCGCATTAGTGGCTTAGATTGTATCCCCTTGATAACGATGTAATTGCACGTATTTGCGCCCCTAGTTCTTATCCATTTGAGGGGCATAGTCGTGTATTTTTTGCCTATTTTACGTCGGGTTGTGCTATTTTGTCATGTTTCAGGTCCCAGATGTCAAAGGGAAGGCTAAGCACGAGTTTCGGGGAATTCGGAAGTCATTTCGTCGAGCTGGAGCCAAAACACGGGCACACCTAAAGCATTACACGGCCGTGTTCTGTGGCCGTGCTTTTACTGCCGAGAGCAAATTGAGTTTGGCAAATTCAAGCTGCAAAACATGGGCTGAAAGCACGGCCGTGTTCTACCAAAGCACGGTCGTGTTTGCACCAACACAATGGCCGTGTAATTAACCCTAGCCAAAGCACGGGCGGGCTGAGGCATTACACGGCCGTGCCCTCGACCGTGCTTTGGCCACTGATGCCCTTTTAAGCAGATTTCAGCCAAAACAGAAGGGGATTCGAGTTTTGAGAGAGATAGAGCGATTCCTAGAGAGAGAAAGTGACGAACAAGAGTCTCCAAGTGCCCTAGATTGATATTCAACACCATTGGAGGCCAGTTTGAGCTTGGAGAAGTGCCGATCAACGTCCAGGAGCAGGAATCCATCCTTTACAGTATGAATTCCGCGTCTGATTCTGCTTTTGCTTCTTTCTCTATGGAGTAGTTCTCCCATTCATCTGGGTATGGAGAACCCTAGATTTGTATGTTAGGTTTGATTGTATGAACCCAAGTACTGATTCTATGATTTGATTATATTCGATTGAGGTTTGAATGATTGAAGGACTTGAATCCTGATCAAATTCCTGTTGTTTCTGCTTTAACCTAGAATGAGAATATCTGCCTAGGTTGATAGAGCATCCTTGATTGAAGATAGGGAGTTGGTGACTTTAGTCGAGGAGCCAACTCACTATTCTGTACCGGATTCACTTCGGTAGTGGAGGTTTTGTTCGTTAAGGCCTCAATCTGTTTACTCCGGTGGAGGTTAGTCGCCCGCTAGAGACTCAGATTGAGAGGGTCTGAAGACCTTTAGTCGAGACTTCAGGCTGTTTAAGAACCTTCCGCAGTATAATTATCATAGAAACTGAACTTGGTAATAACAATCCGGCTTGACTGCAGCCTAGGGGGAACCATATCCGGGTGACCTCTCTTAACCTGAATACAACCGTTTACTTGCTTTGTTAGTTTGTTAGTTTAGACTTGCATTCCAGTTTCATTGCTAGATAACAAGAATTCACTGAGTAGTCATCAAATCCAGGACCCGGGTTGATAATTAAACCTAAACCCGCTATACTACGCTTTAGGAAGTGGTTACACTTGGCCAATTCCTGAAGCAGCTCAACATCAGCATACCGTTTGTGGAGGCACTGTCGAAGATGCCCAAGTACGCGAAGTTCATGAAAGATCTCCTCACCAACAAGAAGAAACTTGGGGATCTCTCGACAGTGTTGCTGAGCGAGGAGTGTTCTGCTATCCTGCAGAACAAGCTGCCCGAGAAGCGCAAGGATCCAGGGAGTTTTACTATCCCTCTTACTATTGGCAGCATGCATGTAGGTAAGTCCTTGGCGGACCTAGGCGCTAGCATAAATGTCATGCCATATAAGTTGTATAAAAAGCTAGACCTAGGTGAACTTAGCCCTACTAGGATGAGCATTCAGCTAGCTGATCGTTCCATTGTGCACCCTAGGGGGATCGTAGAGGATCTGCTTGTTAAAGTAGGTGCATTCACATATCCTGTTGATTTTGTTATTCTTGATATACATAAGGATGTGGATGTGCCTTTGATTCTGGGTAGACCATTTCTTGCCACCGCCAAGGCACTTATTGATGTGCATGATGGTAAACTGATCTTGCGTGCTGGGAATGAACAGGCTACTTTTTCTGTGACTGAATTTGATCATTGTGATATGATTGCTGTCACACCTGTGCATGCCATTTCTGATCAGGTACACGAGCTTGTCGTGTATCCTTCTGCACCTCTTATTTTGAAAGATCCGCCTATCATTCCTTTGCCGCCACTCCATCCAGTCTCGCCTCCGAACAAAAAGCTCAAGGAGGAGTGGCCGCCGAAGCAGCAGGTTGCTAAGCCTGCACGGAAGAAGAGTGGAGGCCACTATGAGCTGGTCCCACCCCCTGCACCACGACCACCCTGGCCATCCGAGTACTCACTCGCCTGCATCTTGCCGGATGGCCAGGTCGAGCTGACCGATGATGGTGGTCGCATCCGTCGGGTGCATGGCCACAACCTGAAGCCGTACCTCAAGAGCGACGTAGATACGCTCTTGGAGGCACCTATTCCTGCACCTCCCTGAGTATCCACCATGGGCGTCCAGCTAAAAGACGGTAAAGAAGCGCTTGTGGGGAGGCAACCCCACCACGGTTTGACTTTCTTTCTTGTGTTTTGAGTCGGATTGTAAACCGGTTTGGTTTTGGTTTGTTTTCTTTTGTTTTGGATGATGTATTATTGGGCTGACCATTGGACCTAACATATCGTGTTTGAGCTCTTTGGTTTCCTTTAGATGTGCTTGTCTTGACTGGTTCTCTATCCAGTCCGCTTCACTCTGACTGGTCCGCTTCCAGTCACCTGCAGTCCGTGCATACCGGTAACATCGTTCCCCTTTTCCTTCCCTCTTCTCCATTGAGGGCAATGTCGATCTTAAGTGTGGGGGGATGTTTATCTTTTGACTGCATTAGATCTGTTTGTGTGCTTGGAGCCTAGTCCACTGTCCAAATTTTTAAATTTGAGGGCTCCAAGTACGTGTTCCTTGCAATTGCCTGCTTAGTATGCTTTGAATTGACAGTCTTTATAGTAATATGCCCCCTTACATGTCTTTCCCCCGCACGAGGCTCGAGACATCCGCTCCTGGCATGGCTGGTAAGAGCCGGTTGGGACCCTTGAAAAAAGAAAAAAAAAAGAAAAAATAACTGAAAACAAGCAAAACAGAAAGAAAATGGGTTCCAACCATCTTCAAGAGGAAAATAGAGCACCTTGAAAAATGTGAGTCCATGATCCTTTGTTTTTGAGAATCTCTTCATCCACGATTCATTTGTCCTCTGTTCACTATTTGCCATGATGCCGACTCGATACTAGTGCTCTCGCCGAAGAAGCTATGAGATGACTTGTGCGTCGGTTGACCTCGTAAGTTGCTAAATGATCTAGGAAGTCCTCTACCTACGATCTGGGTTGTTTGTTGCTATAGAGGTCTGGAGAGTTGCATTGGTTTGAGTTAGGTTTGCTTGGGGACAAGCAAACGGTTAAGTGTGTGGGAATTTGATAAAGATGTAATTGCACGTATTTGCGCCCCTAGTTCTTATCCGTTTGAGGGGCATAGTCGTGTATTTTTGGCCTATTTTACGCCGGGTTGTGCTATTTTGTCATGTTTCAGGTCCCAGGTGTCAAACGGAAGGCTAAGCACGAGTTTCGGGGCATTCGGAAGTCATTTCGTTGAGCTGGAGCCAAAACACGGGCACACCTAAAGCATTACACGGCCGTGTTCTGTGGCCGTGCTTTTACTGCCGAGAGAAAATTGAGTTTGGCAAATTCAAGCTGCAAAACACGGGCTGAAAGCACGGCCGTGTTCTACCAAAGCACGGCCGTGTCCTCCCAAAAGCACGGCCGTGTTTGCACCAACACAATGGCCGCGTAATTAACCCTAGCCAAAGCACGGGCGGTCTGAGGCATTACACGGCCGTGCCCTCGACCGTGCTTTGGCCACTAATGCCCTTTTAAGCAGATTTCAGCCAAAACAGAAGGGGATTCGAGTTTTGAGAGAGATAGAACGATTCCTAGAGAGAGAAAGTGACGAACAAGAGTCTCCAAGTGCCCTAGATTGATCTTCAACACCATTGGAGGCCAGTTTGAGCTTGGAGAAGTGCCGATCAACGTCCAGGAGCAGGAATCCATCCTTCACAGTATGAATTCCGCGTCTGATTCTGCTTTTGCTTCTTTCTCCATGGAGTAGTTCTCCCATTCATCTGGGTATGGAGAACCCTAGATTTGTATGTTAGGTTTGATTGTATGAACCCAAGTACTGATTCTATGATTTGATTATATTCGATTGAGGTTTGAATGATTGAAGGACTTGAATCCTGATCAAATTCCTGTTGTTTCTGCTTTAACCTAGAATGAGAATATCTGCCTAGGTTGATAGAGCATCCTTGATTGAAGATAGGGAGTTGGTGACTTTAGTTGAGGAGCCAACTCACTATTTTGTACCGGATTCACTTGGGTAGTGGAGGTTTTGTTCGTTAAGGCCTCAATCTGTTTACTCCGGTGGAGGTTAGTCGCCCGCTAGAGACTCAGATTGAGAGGGTCTGAAGACCTTTAGTCGAGACTTCAGGCTGTTTAAGAACCTTTCGCAGTATAATTATCATAGAAACTGAACTTGGTAATTACAATCCGGCTTGACTGCAGTCTAGGGGGAACCATATCCGGGTGACCTCTCTTAACCTGAATACAACCGTTTACTTGCTTTGTTAGTTTGTTAGTTTAGACTTGCATTCCAGTTTCATTGCTAGATAACAAGAATTCACTGAGTAGTCATCAAATCTAGGACCCGGGTTGATAATTAAACCTAAACCCGCTATACTACGCTTTAGGAAGTGGTTACACTTGGCCAATTCCTGGAGTGACAGTAGAAGTGAGTTACCCCTTCCTCGACCTAGAGACTAAGAGGGTAGCTTTGGCTACTTTTTAGCATGGTAATGGAAACCGTACCGGAAGTTATACCGGACCCGTCTATGGTAGGGTATTTTGTGGTACGACCGTGGTTCAACCGTTGTGTACCGGTAAAATACCGTTTCTATAATTAAATAATATTTTTTTGTTAAAAAACCGTACCGACAGATTCAGGGTATCATCTCGAAGTAATACTGGAATAAAACCGGAATATACCGGATAACAAACCTGAATAAACTAATAAGCACAAGTAGTATAACAATCAACAAAGTGCAATTATTATACGATATAGTCTCCAAATCATATCTATTTTCCACCAAACTTGGGGGAGGGGGGGGGGGGAATGAACAGTATACTCAAATCAATAAAAAAACATGAAACAAGGGAGGGAGACTTGAGCAAGCCGGCGCGTTCATGTCCTCTTGAGCAGTAGAGGAGGGAGCTTCTTAAGCAGGCCGACGCGTTCTTCTCACGTTCTTGAGCAAGTCAATCGCCAGTCGCGGATCGCAGGAAGCGGATGAGCGACTGAGTAGAAGAGAGGACGAGGACGAGCTGCGGTCGCGGGTTTCCTTCCTCCTTGCTTTCGCCGATCACGGGTTGCCGGTCACAGTCGCCAGACAGCCAGAAGATAAGGGGAGCGGCGCGGGGGGGCTGGGTGCCACTGGGGGAAGAAAGAAACGAATAGAGGAAAGGGCTCCCACTCTCCGAGACGGCCAGAACCAGATTAGGGTTTCGTTTTTGGGGTTCTTGGCCTCTCGGCCAATTAGTTTTTTTTTATTTTAATTCTAAAATGGCGACGTTTCCTTGCAGTATGCCTACCGCCGGTCAAACCAAAACCGACCGGTATTTACGTTCGTACCAGTTAAGCCGGCAAAACCGGCCGGTACGATATTTTAACGCCAACCAACCTACCGTATCGCTCTAGGTCCGGTTCCCGGTTTTACTGGTTGAACCGGCCGGTACGATCTGGTTTCCTGGTCCTTGCTTTTTAGACTTCCCAACGGTTTACAACCCCCTCACCACACACGGCCACTCGATCCATTAAGTCGTAATTGCTAGCTAGGGGGAGCAACACCTGGGTGAAGTCTTCTCAATTAGTGTCAAAAACATTTCCCTTTGCAAGTACTTTAGCGATACATGGGCAGGCCCAGGTTGACATTTAAACATACTTGCCCTATATTGCACCCATCTAAGGTTTATACTTGGATTTTAGGTGGGATTTTATTGTGATAGTCAGGCGCGTCAGAGCATGTTGCTTTTTGTGCTTAATGATGATTGATAGAATGACCCTTTTTCCTTTTTTCGTGTCTAAATCGTTGTGATTCATCATTGTGTCTCACAGTTGTCGCTTTAGAGCTCCATTGAGGTTCTACATAGTTGGATTTTGCACGGTTCTTGCTAGGAATGAAAAGGTAGTGTTGAAGGAAAGATCTTAATAGAGAGCATTGTTTGTTAAATGTAAAAATGACATGTGTTTAGCTCTCTAGTACACCCCCCCCCCCTCGGAAAAAAGAGTAAGTAAAGAAAAATAAAAGGAAAGTATAGAATAAAAAGAGGACTCGAAAAAAGAGGTAATGAACGGGGTAAATAAAGATAGAGAGTTGCCATGAGGAAATGATGGGTATGATCTAGAAAGGGTTTCTTGGCACTCAAGCCATTGAAACACCTAATTATTTGTTGCCCTCCTTCACTACTATAATTGAATTGTGGATAGCAAGATAGGTCTAGGAAGTGTGCTTGAATGTATGTCGTGGTTGGTAATGGTTTGGAAGAAGGGAAGTGTGGTTTTTGACCGATGCTAGTGGCCGTTGATTGTAGGAAAGTTTCTCAGTTGAAACCATAGAACCTTTGGTTTTAGGTTTAAGATGTAGCACCTCATGCTTTGTCTGCCACCACCCAAAAGGCCTTTTCCCCATGTCCAAGACAATTTCTTGTCATTTGAACCCGTGTCTAAGACTGTTGGACAAGCTAGTGATGACAACCGTCTTGTGAACTTTAGCTTTTAGAGGTTGTCGTCGTGGTGAAGAGATGATAGAGCTGAGTTTTGATGGTTGTGCACTTCTTTTGCACCAAATGGTCCTGACCCCACTGGTTGAGAGTGTGTGATTCATTCACATTTTGCATGTTCGTATCTTATCCCCGGTGAGGAGCAATGTCGCCCATTCGTTTGTTTTTTGGACTTGAACTCTATGCATGGTCAGTTGCGGTTGGTGAGTAGTCTTCTCGAGACTTGCATTGATTTGGGAACATGGTGAGAACTTTTTGGTTGCATGTTCTTAATTCATTCGAATGACATTTGTGGTGGATGTCGGTATTGCTTGTAATGGTTCATGTGTTGATGCCCAATAGCCAATGAGATTCGCCCGTTTTGTGCCCTTTGATGTGTCCCCAAGTTATTGTTGTTAGGTTGAAAAGTTACCTTGTTTGAGATTGGTTTGCTTGGGGACAAGCAAACGTTCAAGTGTGGGGGTGTGATTCGGGTCTAATTGTACACATTTTACCCCTCATTTCTTGATAGTTTGAGTTTTCATTTCGTCGTCTCGTGACCTATTTACTCTAGGTTGTGCTATTTTTTATACATTACATGTCCTAGCATGTGTGGGAAGGTCGAGAACGAGTTTTGGGATGATTGGAGTCGATAAACTGCCAAAAAGTGAAGTAAAGTGAAGGACAGTCCAAGGTCATGGGCAGAGGTCAAATGTCACAGTCACTAGACTGTGACAATTGATAATTGAGCGTGACATTGACAAGTTTAAGAATGCTTCGCGCACCTCATTGGACCCCGAGTGTTTCACGATCAAATGACCATGAAAATCACCCGGTGACCGTGAAGTGGGACCAAACATTGGCCAAACGGTGCGTTTTGGTCCGATGTCACGGTGAGGGCTCCAATGTCACGGCCATGACTTCTGATCGTGAAAAGTGACTATCAGGCTCTATAAATAGAAGGTTGTTGGGAGAGAGAAAGGGGACACCTTTTTGGTAGATTTTTAGTTTGCAAAATAAAAGAGGTTTTCTAGTGAGAGATTAGGGTTCTCCTTGAAAGCTAGAGAGAAAGTGCCATTCAAAAGAGGAAGAAGGGGATTGGGCTTTCTTCAAGCTAGAGGAGTGAAGATTCTTACCTCTCAAGGGAGATTCAAGCAACAAGAAAGGAAGATAGTCATCTCTTCATGGTTTTTCTCTCTTTTTTTCTTGTTTTCCCTTGCATAGCTATGGATTAGCCTACCTCTTCACTTGGGTGTTGTGAACCCTAGC